TCCTCTTCTTCTCTCTCTCTATTTCTTCCTTATACACAAACATGAACACTTTTACCTCAAACTCTTCGGATCTCACTACCACTGCAACCGAAACATCGTCGTTTAGCACCTTGTATCTCCTCTCAACACTTCAAGCCTTTGTGGCTATAACCTTAGTGATGCTACTCAAGAAACTGATGACAGATCCCAACAAAAAGAAACTGACTCTCCCTCCGGGTCCCACAGGATGGCCGATCATCGGAATGATTCCGACGATGCTAAAGAGCCGTCCCGTTTTCCGGTGGCTCCACAGCATCATGAAGCAGCTCAATACTGAGATAGCCTGCGTGAGGTTAGGAAACACTCACGTGATCACCGTCACGTGCCCTAAGATAGCACGTGAGATGCTCAAGCAACAAGACGCTCTCTTCGCCTCGAGGCCTTTAACTTACGCTCAGAAGATCCTCTCTAACGGCTACAAAACCTGCGTGATCACTCCCTTTGGTGACCAATTCAAGAAAATGAGGAAAGTTGTGATGACGGAACTCGTTTGTCCAGCGAGACACAGGTGGCTCCACCAGAAGAGATCAGAAGAAAACGATCATTTAACCGCTTGGGTATACAACATGGTTAAGAACTCGGGCTCTGTAGATTTCCGGTTCATGACTAGGCATTACTGTGGAAATGCAATCAAGAAGCTTATGTTCGGGACAAGAACGTTCTCTAAGAACACTGCACCTGACGGTGGACCGACCGTAGAAGATGTAGAGCACATGGAAGCTATGTTTGAAGCATTAGGGTTTACGTTTGCTTTTTGTATCTCTGATTATCTACCGATGCTCACTGGACTTGATCTTAACGGTCACGAGAAGATTATGAGAGAATCGAGTGCTATTATGGATAAGTATCATGACCCAATCATCGACGAGAGGATCAAGATGTGGAGAGAAGGAAAGAGAACTCAAATCGAAGATTTTCTTGATATTTTCATCTCTATCAAGGACGAACAAGGCAACCCATTGCTTACCGCCGATGAAATCAAACCCACCATTAAGGTATTTATCAAAAGAACATTTTTATATATGAAAACAAATATATACAAAAAGATCCGAAATTAATAAAAACTGGTATGTTTATGATCAATAGGAGCTTGTGATGGCGGCGCCAGATAATCCATCAAACGCCGTCGAATGGGCCATGGCGGAGATGGTGAACAAACCGGAGATTCTCCGTAAAGCAATGGAAGAAATCGACAGAGTCGTCGGAAAAGAAAGACTCGTTCAAGAATCCGACATCCCAAAACTAAACTACGTCAAAGCTATCCTCCGTGAAGCTTTCCGTCTCCATCCCGTCGCCGCCTTTAACCTCCCACACGTGGCACTCTCTGACACAACCGTCGCCGGATATCACATCCCTAAAGGAAGTCAAGTCCTTCTTAGCCGATATGGGCTGGGCCGTAACCCGAAAGTTTGGGCCGACCCACTTAGCTTTAAACCGGAGAGACATCTCAACGAATGCTCCGAAGTCACTTTGACCGAGAACGATCTTCGGTTTATCTCGTTTAGTACCGGAAAAAGAGGTTGTGCTGCTCCGGCGCTAGGAACGGCGTTGACCACGATGATGCTCGCGAGACTTCTTCAAGGTTTCACTTGGAAGCTACCGGAGAATGAGACACGTGTCGAGCTGATGGAGTCTAGTCACGATATGTTTCTCGCTAAACCGTTGGTTATGGTCGGTGAGCTGAGATTGCCGGAGCATCTCTACCCGACGGTGAAGTGAGATGAGACGACGTCGTATATATTTTATGAAATTTTCTATAATCGCCAACCAAGTTTGGTCAATTCCGGTTACCAAAAGATAATTGGTCAATTTGTGAACAAACTTGTGTGTTGGTCTTGGTTCTTTTGGGGACACTTGAATTGTGTCTCTTTACCTCTTCTTTTGTTGTTTTCAATAAAAACTTTTATTCTATTTAAATAAAAATATGATCTAATTAACAAATCTGCGTGTAATATATAGAAAGATTGGTTTTGTTTCGTTGTTAATTTGGTTTCCGTTACTATTTTTCTAAATATATGTTTGGTTTTGTTTATTTATTATGTAAAATCATCTAACAAAATGCACAATAATATAACTAGTATGATATTAATAGTTAAATCATATATATGGGAAGAAAAATGTTAACCATAGACCCAACAAACAGTGATGAGTAATCAGCGTTGTGATTATCTCATCATTTATTCAATAATAAAATATTACTAGATCATGACCCGCACATACGTGCGGGGTTTCATATTTTAAAAAACTTTCTAACAAATTTTAATTCAATATAGATTATTTGTTGTTTCTATGAAATGTCGTTAAAATCCCCAACTTATTCAAAACGTTGATTTAAATCCTCAACTCATGACGAAACGAAATAAATATCAAACTTATGTTGACTTTCCAAATAAATATTAACTTATGTTGACTTTCCAAATAAACACCAAACTTTCATTGACTTTCCAAATAAATATCAAACTTCCGTTGACCTGACCATATTAGGTACGACGTTAAGTGGGTTAATAAATCCTCAACTCATAACAAAACGAAATAAATATCAAACTTATGTTGACTTTCCAAATAAATATCAAACTTATGTTGACTTTCCAAATAAATATCAAATTTCCGTTGACCTAGCCATATTAGGTACAACGTTAAGTGGGTTAATAGATCTCGTTAACGGAGGTAATTTTCTGTTAACATATGTGTTAATTGATAGCGACATTGTTTCATATAACAACAAAACGACGTTGTTTTGTCGTAACGATTGAATTAAATCCCTAAAGTCAATCTTAGATCCCCAAATCGAGCAAAATCCCTAACCCTAAATAGAGTATGATTTGAAACTCGGGATTTTATTGAACAGTTATGACAAAACAACGTCGTTTTGTGTTTAGAAGGAATACTTGTTAGTATTTTGATCAACACTAACAGGTGTTAACATTGTTTGTTAACTCACTTAACGTCATGCCTAATATGGCCAAGTCAATGAAAGTTTGGTGTTTATTTGGAAAGTCAACATAAGTTTAATATTTATTTGGAAAGTCAACATAAGTTTGATATTTATTTCGTTTCGTTGTGAGTTGAGGATTTAAATCAACGTTTTGAATAAGTTGGGGATTTTAATGACATTTTTCCCTATATATTTTAGTGTATTAGATCTGAATTCACACGTATGTGCAGAGATATCTTTATATATATAAATTTTTATATAGATTTTAAAAATATAAAATATTTTGTTGTGTTAGTGAACTTCATAATAGTATAAATATTATATAGTTAGAGTAATGAACGAAATTCAGTTGCGTTAGTTCATAGTTATATTTTAAGATTCGGACCTACACATACGTGTGAAATTATATTTAAGAAATAATTAAGATATAATTTAGTTGCAAAAGTTAAATGATGTTACGGTTTTTATTTTCTAAACTAATCAAAACATTTCTAACAGTTTGATTACATGTGTTATATAGGATATGGATTCGGTTTTAGTTTGGTTATTTCATGTATATTAGCTAGGCATAACTATATTGGAACGGGAAACCTATCCCGTCATGTATCTGTCATAAATTCTTCGTTCCATAACCCGTCTCGTATACGTGAAATAAATATATGACGGTCCCGTATCCGGCATAAATAGAATATGTGTAAATGAAAACGTACGTACAGAATTATGTGTGTAAACAAATTTATTTTAGATAGTGCTCATAAGCCGAACACATACCAGTTGGATATTTAGTTTAATTTTTAATTTATGTTCTCATCTCGTCCCGTCTCGTAATTCCTATTTTCATTTTATTCCATTAAATTCATAAACCAAATTCTTGTTTGCTTACCTTTAAATAACATACAATACATACTGTGAGTTTTGCAGATTAATATATATGTTGTTAAAATAACAAATATATTTTAAAATTTTTATTAATGTTTCTTTCCTTAGCTAAATTATGTATATTATTCTTTTCATTGTTTAATCATAATTAATTTGATTTTTGGACTAAAAATAAAAATTTGAGATACATCTCTAAAAGGGATATGCTATTGCTGCATAATTTATTTTGAATACAAAATATATATTTAGTTTACATTATTTCGTGCAATATTTTAGGGATTTATTTAAGGAAGATTCGGTTGAAAAAAAAACGCAAAATAATTTGGAAATTAATATGTACAATGTATTGTTTAGATATTTCCGAAACTTGCTCTAAACGAAGGCCATGATGAAACTTATTTTAAATTTATTATTATTTGAGTTTATTTCATAGTAAATATAAATATTTGTTAATATCTAATATCGTTTTTCAGAAATTGTGAAATAAAATTTTGTTTTATATTTCAAAATTTATGAAAATATTATAACAAAACTAAATCTTTAAATTTGTATTTGATTTTCTTATGAAATTTCAAATTCAATATTAAAATCCTCCATTGATAAATCTTTTAAGGCATAGTATTTTGAATTAAAATGATACTAATTTCTTTTTTTTGATATAGAATAGTCTATTAGGATTGGTTTATATAAAATTTTAGTTGGATATCAAATCTTAGTTTTTCAATTCTCATTGGTTAAAAATTTTTTAAAAATTAATTTCAAATTTTCGTCCATAATTAATAAGAGAGAGAAAATTAGTTTATTTTTTTGGAAATTAATAATTATTTTAAAGAATTTAACTATTTTGTATTTAAATATATTAATTTTGTGATTACTATTATACCCTTAATGAAGTTATTTAAAAACACTATAAATCAATGGCATCTTTTGTAATATTTTACCCTTTATAAGGTTGTTTAATATGTAGTGATTCCCAATTAATAATATAGATTAGTTATTCAATAATTTTAAAGAGCATTTAAATTTAAGGTGGAAACACAGATTTGCAAATGGTGCACGCGCAAATCTTTGTTGTTGGAACTTGTCCAAGACATTTTCCATAATGATAACCTTCACCACGGCAAACTTTTTGACATAATGGCTCCGAATGGAGAAAGCGTATCTGGCGGAGCGGATCGAGCAGATCCAGCGTTTCAAGCAGAACAAAAGCGGATCAAGCAGATCTGACGGTACAAGTGCGGATCAAACAGATTGAACGCTTTCAAATATGTGTTGAATGGTGAAAGCGGATAGTGCCTTTCCCTAAGCTATATTGTCGAGTCGAGTTGATTGTTGTTGAAATATATAAGTTGTTGACATGATTCTTTAGCAGATTCAACCCGAGGCTCTGTTCTAAACTGGGACACGAGATTCGACATTGCAAAAGGTATTGTTCGAGGCCTTGTATATCTTCATCAAGATTCTCGGTTTAGGATCATTCATTTAGATCTGAAGCCGAGCAACATTTTGGTCGACAAAGATATGGTCCCAAAGATCTCGGACTTCGGGATGGCAAGGATCCTTGGAGGGGATGAGACTGAAGCTCATGTGACGACCGTGACTGGAACATTGTGAGAAATGATACCTAGCAACAGTATCCTCCTTGTATTCGAGAAACACAAATTAAAAGATTTTTATATTAATCATTTGTCAAGCAGCGGTTACATAGCACCTGAATACAGGAGCGACGGGGTATTATCAGTAAAATCAGATGTTTTCAGCTTCGGAATAATGCTTCTTGAGATAATCAGTGGCAAGAGGAATATAGATTTCCTTCATCTCAACGACGGAAGCCCTCTTCTCAGCTACGTAAGTTTGTCAACTTTTTATATATGATTTTCTTTCTTTCTTTCTTTCTTTCTTTCTCGAGATTGACAAAAACACTTATACAAGCTTTTGATATGGCAGATGTGGAATCATTGGAGCCAAGGTAACGGCCTAGAGATCGTTGATCACACAATCAAAGACTCATCCTCATCGCAGCAAATATTGCGATGCGTACAGATCGGCTTGATGTGTGTTCAAGAACTACCAGAGGACAGGCCAACGATGTCGTCGGTGGGTTTGATGCTCGGAAGGGAAACAGAGGCAATATCTCAGCCCAAATCGCCAGTGGAAAATGGGTCTTCTTCCAGAGGGCAACAAGAGAGCGAATCTGGAACAGTTCCAGAAATGACCTTGTTAATTGAGGGTCGCTAATGGTAATTTATCTGCCTTAAAAAGATGTATGATTCACTTCTTAATTACGTACTTTCTACTTTGTTCTTAGTCCGTTGAAGCTATATATCGATCACAACATTACTTAAATAATAAATTTCTATGGATAGTTGAATATCTCTCTTTGTAGTTGAACTATTCCCTGGTGCATGAGTGAATGATTTTCTTGTTAATAAAAAAATTCTAATGCTCTGTTTTTTATTTTTTTTCTAATGCTCTGTTTTGGTTTTCTCGTGACCAACAAAATAAAATAAAAACCATTCGAAATAGAAATCTACTTAACATTTTTGAAGTACAAATTTGCTCTTTCCAATCGGGTCGGATTTTTTTTGTGATTTTGACCCGAAAATCTTCAATCGGATCTTTCCTTATTTTTGGCAAAATTCAAAAACGAAATTAATTAATAAATTCTAAAAATATATATTTTCTCAACTAATTACTACACCTAAACTCTTTATTTATGGCATATTCTTTCTTATATTTATATATAAGGAAACCAAATATGATGATTTAATGCTAATATAACAAATTTGAGCTAATTTCTTAAAACTTCTCTACCTAATTTAAACAAAAATATATGATTCTCATTTCACTTTTATTTGATTTATATTTATATTATTTTGAATTATTATAAAATATATATAGTTAATAAAATTTTATATTTTTTTCTACATATGCTATGTTTCAAATTTTTTAAAACGGACATATATTATTCAATCAATAAAGAAAAAAATATGTGTACAATCTAAAGTACATATTTGCTCTTTTTTGGGTCAGTTTTGTTTTTTTTTTTTTTAAATTTTGACCCGGATTTTGACCCTCAATTAAGTCTTTCGGATCCAAATAATGAGACTTTCCAAAAAAAATCCTAGCAATTTAAATGATTGATTTCGTATATATATGTAGTTATTACTAAATATATATCTACTTAACATTTTTGAATTATATTTTTGCTCTCTAATCGGGTCGTTTTTTTTTTATGATTTTGATCCGGAAATCTTCAATCGGGTCTTTCCTTAAATTTTGGCAAAATTCAAAAACGAAATTAATTAATAAAATCTAAAATATATATATTTCTCAACTAATTATTATATCTAAACTCTTAATTTATGGTATATTCTTTACGATTTTTATAGATAAGGAAATCAAATATGATGATTTAATGCTAATATAACAAATTTGAGCGAATTTCCTAAAATCTCTCTAATTAATTTAAACATAAATATATGATTCTCATTTCACTTTTATTTGATGTTATATTTAAATTATTTTGAATTATTATAATATATACATATAGTAAATTTTAGTTTTTTTTGCATATGTTATGATTCAAATTATTTTTAAACGGACATATATTACTCAGTTGATGAAGAAAAAAAGTATGTGTGCAATTTATATTATCATTTTTGAAAAACAAATTGCGTAATTAATTAGGTCATTTTTTTTATTCTGACCCGAAATTGAGTCATTCGGATCTTTTCTTAATTTCTACAATTATCTAAAACGGGAGAGTATACCACGGGTGAAATCCTAAAATTAACAAATCAAAATAACAATTGTAAATTATTTTTACGGGTTGGTCCAAAAACACATAATTTTTAATATATATATATATATATATATATATATATATATATATTATGAAAACCATTTGAAAGCAAACTTTTAAATTGATTCGAATTATATGTCTTTTAAAAAAAAGTGTTATTAAAAAAATAACAAAATGATGTTTAATTTAACAGAACGGAATTATATGGTAGGATGGGTTTGGGTCGATATTAATATGGGAAAATATACTACGGGTGAAATCCTAGAATTAACAAATCAAAATACAATTATACAATCTTAAACACTAAACAAAATAAATACAACTTAAAATTTTTATTTTTTAGATACAACGCATATGATCCGCGATACAACAGGAAATATTATACACAACAAATTCATTAGTTTATAAAAAGAATAAAAAAAATCAAATAATTAACCTGCGGTGTACCGCGGGTCATATCCTAGTATATTACTATTACTATTAGACGTGACCAACAAAAAATTGGTTTGTTATATAATTACAAAAAAGCCCATTCGAAATAGAAATATTGCAATATGCTAATAATGTTGCGACGAGCCTGTCGTCGTCTCTTGAAACCCAAATCTGTTGTTACTCTACGAACAATCGCATCTTCTTCTTCCTCAAGCTACGTCGATCGTCATATTAGTGTGATTCTCTGCGATCAGAGCTTGAGCTTAGAGTCTCTGCGTAAACACAACGCTCTTATCATCACCGGAGGAAACTCGGAAAATATCTTCGTCGCATCGAAGCTAATTTCATCTTACGCTTCTTACGGGAAACCCAATTTGTCTTCCAGAGTCTTCGATTTGGTTACTCGAAGAGATGTCTTTCTTTGGAATTCTATTATCAAAGCACATTTCTCCAATGGCGATTATGCTCGATCCTTGGGTTTCTTCTTCTCAATGCTCTTGTCTGGCCAATCCCCTGATCATTTCACTGCTCCAATGGTTGTTTCTGCTTGTGCGGAGCTTTTGTGGTTTGATGTTGGGAGTTTCGTTCATGGGTTTGTGTTGAAACATGGAGGTTTTGAACGAAACACTGCAGTGGGAGCTTCCTTTGTTTATTTCTATTCAAAGTGTGGGTTTTTACAAGATGCGTGTCTTGTGTTCGACGAAATGCCTGAGAGAGATGTTGTTGCTTGGACTGCCATTATATCTGGGCATGTGCAGAACCGAGAGAGCGAGAGAGCTTTGGGTTATCTTTGCAAGATGCATACTGTTGGTTCTGATGTTGATAAGCCGAATCCCAGAACATTGGAATGCGGATTCCAAGCTTGTTCAAATTTGGGAGCTTTGAAAGAAGGAAGATGTCTTCATGGTTTTGCGGTGAAAAATGGTTTAGCTTCTTCCAACGTTGTCCAGTCTTCGATCTTTTCATTGTATTCGAAATCTGGGAATCCAGCTGAGGCTTATCTTTCTTTCCGTGAACTTGGGGATCAAGATATGTTTTCATGGACTTCGATTATAGCGTCACTGGTGAGATCAGGTAACGTGGAGGAAAGTTTTGATATGTTCTGGGAAATGCAGAACAAGGGAATGCAGCCAGATGGAATTGTCATTAGTTGTTTGATTAGTGAACTAGGTAAGAAGATGCTTGTCCCTGAAGGTAAAGCCTTTCACGGGTTCGTCATAAGACACTGTTTCTCCTTAGACAGTACAGTTTGCAATTCGTTGTTATCGATGTACTGCAAATTCGAGTTTCTGTCTGTGGCTGAGAAGCTTTTCTGTAAGATAAGCGAAGAAGGAAACACAGAAGCTTGGAATACAATGCTTAAAGGCTATGGTAAAATGAAATCTCACGTAAAGTGTATCGAGTTATTTAGAAAGATTCAGAATCTTGGAATTGAAATCGACTCTGCCAGCGCAGCCTCTGTCATATCTTCTTGTTCCCACATAGGAGCGGTGCTACTGGGGAAGTCGTTGCATTGCTATGTTGTCAAAACTAGCTTGGATCTTACCATCTCAGTGGTCAATTCCCTCATTGATTTGTATGGAAAGATGGGAGACTTGACTGTTGCTTGGAGGATGTTCTGTGAAGCAGATACGAACATTGTCACGTGGAACGCAATGATTGCGTCTTATGTTTATTGTGAGCAACCCGACAAAGCCATTGCGTTGTTCGATAGAATGGTTTCTGAGAATTTCAAACCCAGCTCAATAACTTTGGTGACTCTGCTTATGGCTTGCGCCAATACTGGCTCTCTGGAGAGAGGACAGATGATTCATCGGTACATCATTGAAACAGAGCACGAGATGAATCTTTCTCTTTCAACTGCTCTGATTGACATGTACGCAAAATGTGGCCACCTTGAAAAGTCACGAGAACTGTTTGATGCTGCAAGTCAGAAGGATGCCGTTTGTTGGAATGTGATGATCTCAGGTTATGGAATGCACGGACATGTTGAATCGGCCATAGCACTTTTTGATCAAATGGAAGAGTCTGATGTTAAACCAACCGGACCTACATTTCTTGCCCTTCTATCAGCTTGCACGCACGCTGGTTTAGTTGAACACGGGAAAAACCTTTTTCTCAAGATGCATCAGTACGATGTGAAACCCAACTTAAAGCATTACTCTTGTCTTGTGGATCTTCTTTCCCGGTCTGGTAATTTGCAGGAAGCTGAAACCACAGTCATGTCGATGCCATTCTCACCAGACGGGGTCATATGGGGAACATTGTTGAGCTCATGCATGACCCATGGGGAGTTTGAGATGGGAATTCGAATGGCAGACCGTGCAGTTGCTAGTGATCCGCAGAACGATGGGTATTATATAATGCTTGCGAACATGTACAGTGCTGCAGGTAAGTGGGAACAAGCGGAAAGGGCACGAGAGATGATGAGGGAAAGCGGAGTTGGGAAGAGAGCTGGACATAGTGTAGTCTAATAATAATCTTTGATACAACGGATATTCTTGTGATTCATCTGTTTGAAACAAGCTCAATGTGCTTAGTTCCTAATATTAATCCATACACTTCTAATCTTTATATATAGAGATTCATACAATGATGCATAGATTAGAAGATGAATTTGCTCACCAAATACAACAACAACAAGAACAAAAAAAAAGCCAGCTTCATAAAACATAAACTGGTTTTACGAGAATTAAGGTGAATTATAATTATTATCCATCCCAAGTGTACTTGAACGTCTCCGGACCTAGATTTTTGGACAAGTAAATGCCATCACCTTTGGCAATATAAATGCGTTTCTCACCACATCTAGTGAAAAAAACTCCTTTATAAGCTCTAAAGTATTTCGAAAACTTGCCATGCGTCACGGTACAAGTCCATTCTGTTTTACCAAACTTAGCTTCGTGGAATCTTATAACGAATGGAGTACCTTTAAAAGGCAAAAAGTGGTCGCCTAGCTTGTTGTCTCTCGATTGACAGTAACACCTTTATCGATTTGGTTTTCAAATTGCACCAAGTTCTTTAGGCAACCAACCTTATCAGCTTCGTTCAACGTAAAACAAGTACTAATGGTTAACAGAAATATTATGAGATAATTCATCTCTTTTGGTTTTTAAATCAAAGATTATATGAAGCTAATTAAGCGCATCATCATCATATAATAATCTAGTGTTATTTATAGTCTATTTTTTTTTGCGTTTTAAATATAAAATAAAAAATATTACGGCCTTGCGAGAGTTTCGTATCGAAATAAAGGGTTGGCCAATAAAAAATATTCAAACCAAAAAAATTAAAACTGACCAGTAAACAACCTAGCTAAATTAAATAAAAAGCTTAAGGACTTGCCAGGAAAACCTGAAAGTGTATTCCTGTAGACAATCTTCAAAATATTTATTAGATTAACTTTTCTATTAAAATAGATAGAAACTTTTTTAAAGATAGAGACACAATTTTAAACAGATGTTGCAACCATGGCATGAAACCAAATGCAAATGTTATTTGGCTGATGTGCTTTCAAGTTAATAACTGCCAATTATAATATGCTAAAAGGACAAGATTGTGTGATATAATATAAAGTTTTATACATGATACATAGATATATCAAAACATGACATAGCTCATTCTGTGATCCAAACAGACCTTCATGGAATTTGATTGCGAATGGAACACTTTTAAAATCCACAAAATTATCGTCTCTTGATTTGCAATAGACTTTGAGCTTATTAATTTGTATATACCACGTTTTTATTGCAAGCATCATTTAACCTAAAATACAAAGTGATAGTTAACAGAAAAACAATGAGATATTTCATTTCTTCGCGATTTCAAATTCAAAGTGTAGTCATTTTATAGTTTTTTTCGTTTGCAAAACTTAGAACATAAAAACGTATTTACTAACGATAAACCTCTGGCGGGAGGAGAACGTAGTGTCGAAAATAAGGCTGGTGTTAAATGAATTAAACTTTCAAATTAAAACTGACCTCTAAAGCCAAGCTAAACTAAACCAAAAGTCTAAGGCCTTGCCAAAAAACAAAAAACTAAAAGTGTATTATTCTAAAATATTTAGACTACTATTTCATAAGATAGCAAAAAACTTGGAATAGACAGAATTTAACAACAAAGCAAATAAAGGATTTACATATTTTTTTTTTAACATCTTCATGACAAGTAGTTTTTGGACTATTTTGTAATCAACATATTAAAATTACGAGTCGATTACGACCACTTTATTTTTAGTTACACTTACACCCATTGACTTGTTATGAAGAAAAAACAATTACGTAAGAATTAAAAAAAAAACGGGACCAGACACCTTTCTTTTTTTTTTTCACAAAAGGATATTTATTTAGTAAACCGATCTTACAAACCGGGTGAACCGGATAACCTAGTAAACCGGTACCCACAACTTTTCAGCGAGAATATGCAGACAGAAGCCGGCACAATTTCCGGCGAATGAACAACCGAAAACATCTCCGGATTATCAAAACAAACAAACTATTAAACCGAAAAAGATAAATGATTCAATTTAATCTTCAAATTCTTTTCTCTTCCCATCACTGGATCTTTTCCGAGAACAAAAGCATGAAAGAAGTCGCCGGAAAACAATCAACCACGAGGTGAAGCTTCTGAACTCTTGTCATCACTTGATATAAAAAATAGACTTCGGAAATTGATACCTTGACTTCCTATAATGGCAAGACGGACCTCAAATGAGGCGATTGAAGACGTCAAAAAAGCCGGGCCGTTAAAGTCGAACAGAATCGACAAAGATACGGTTGGAAGGAGCCAGGCAACCCAGAATTCTCCCAGATCTGGATTTTGATTCATGTGGATGAGACTAAAACAGTCGCCTAACCGAAACACCAAAACACTTACATGATTGAGGATGGTGGTGGGATGGATCGAGAATAGGCCATGGAAATTTCCAGTTAGAAAAAAGAAGAAGAAATTTGAGATCAAAGTGTTTCCCAAATCAATTCGGTGAAACAACAACAACGGCAACGGAATAGCCGTGAGCAAAGCCGGATACACCGGACGGCGAGATGGGATGGCGAGATGGGACGACAAAACCGGACCACGTCCGGATCCATAAGCCGGCAAGGCAAGCCGGACGGCCAAAACCACCGATCAAAATCTCTCTCTCTAAAAGGTTTAGAGAGATAAGAGAGAGAGAGTCAATCGACCAGACACCTTTCCTAATTTCCAATATGGAATTTCCCTTTGAATATTTTACATAGATTTGCATTCTGTACTCATTTATGTTATAATATTATTTTAAATTTGTCTCTATCACATAACTTTTCTAGTATTTTATAATTAATATTGTGGGAATAAAATTTCAAAGGCAGAAACGGGAAGTTCACCAAAAAAATTGTTATTGTAACGAATCAAAACATGTCACGTAATCACTAAGAATTTTATTGTAATTAATTTTAATCCAATTATTAATTACTTCCTCTTTTTTTATTTTATTTTTTAAAGTCACTTGATCTCTCTGTCTGTCTCTGCAACTCTCATCAGAAGAGGAAGAGATCAATGGCGAGTTGCTTCAGCTACGTGTCTTCTCGTAACAAATGTTACCAATACAGCTTCTCTCGTGCTGGTCTCCGATCATCTACCTCCGATCTTGGCGACGGCACCGTCGTCCACTGTTGGATCCCACAGAGTCACATCGACACCAAGCCCACGCTCCTCCTCCTTCACGGGATCGGAGCTAACGCTATGTGGCAGTGGGACCGGTTCATCGACCGGTTTATTCCCCGGTTCAACGTCTATGTACCGGACCTCATCTTCTTTGGCGACTCGTACACCACTCGTCCCGACCGGTCAGAGTCTTTCCAGGCGAGTTGTGTCATGAAGGCGATGGATGGTTACGGTGTTAGGACCATGACCGTGGCTGGGCTCAGCTACGGCGGGTTCGTGGCCTACTCGTTGGCGGCGCAGTTTAAGGAGAGGGTAGATCGAGTTGTGCTAATATGCGCCGGTGTTGCTCTGGAGGAGAAAGACTCGGAGGATGGTATGTTTAAAGTGAAGAGCCCGGAGGAAGCGGCGGCTGTTTTGTTTCCTCAGTCTCCTTCGATGCTCCGGCGGCTTCTCCAGTTATCTTTCTACAAACCGCCGATTTGGATCCCTTCTTGCTTTGCCATGGACTACATTCATGTAAGTCTTCACCATTTTCACACTTACTATTTCTAATTTTCTATGATGGCTGATGGTTGTGAAGTGTTGTTATAAATGGGACTCTTTCATAAGTTATCAGGAAAAAAGATTCAGCATTTGATTTATTGTTGATTAGGGTCCCCAATTTAGGATGAAATGAAATAATCTTGCAATGAAGCTACTATCAATAAGTTTAGTCCTTTTGTGAATTCATTTAATGGGTCCACATACTTCTGAGTTTCCAGACAAATGTTTGTGTGATTAAGCTAAATATTAATATTATGGTCTTGAGTTCTTTAGTTTAGTTTAGTTTAGTTTCAAAAGCATCAATCTTTGATGTTCACAACAAGACTAATAGTAGTTTGAAAAAAGAGTGTTGTATTCTGATGTTGTGAGGATTTATTGCAAGGTGATGTGTAAAGATTATCTTCAAGAAAGGAAAGAACTTGTAGAAGCTCTGCATAAGGGTAGAAGATTCTCCAATCTTCCAAAGATAACACAGGTGATCTCTCTCTGTTCATATAAATTGCAGTTTAAGATTATCATTGTCTGAATCTTGGTAACAATGATATGCAGCCGACATTGATGATATGGGGAGAGGAAGATCAAGTTTTTCCAGTAGAACTAGCTCATAGACTGAAAAGGTTACAAACTTATCACATTTTTTTCTTCCAAATCATCATCATTTTCTCGAAATTATGAATGCGACTTTCTTGTGTTTTTTTTTCCAGATATTTAGGGGAAAACGGAGCACAATTGGTGTTACTAAAGAAGACAGGACATGCGGTTAATGAAGAGAAACCAAAAGAGATGTACAAACACATGAAATCTTTTCTTTGCACTGACGCAATGATTCCTCCAAATCAGATCAATGCTAAGAGACTCATGTTAGCAAACTTGATATCCCATCAGCAGATCAATAAGTGATGTTACTGCGGAAAAGTGTTATTAGAAGACATAGTTAAACATGTTTAGCTTGTCCCTAAATGGCTAAATGTGATTAGTATCTTTATTGTTAAAGACGACATTGCTTCTAGTTGGAATTAAGAATACTTTTTTTATCTCAAGAAAGTAGGCCTGGGCGTTCGGATATTCGGGTCGGGTTCGGGTCGGGTTTTTTGGGTTCGGATTTTTTGGGTGTAGAAAACTAAGACCCGTTCGGATATTTTAAAACTTCGGGTTCGGGTCGGGTTTGGATCGGATATTTCGGGTTCGGATTCGGGTTTACCCAAAGTATCCAAATATTAGAAATTTTGTATCCGATTCTATGCAAAGTATTAAAAAATACTCAAAAAATCTATAAAACCCAAGTATTTTAACTCGAATCTAACTCAAAGTAGCTAAAACATCCGAAAATATCTTAACATCCGAATAATTTAGGCACTTACGTTATTACAAGTATAAATATTACTAATATATTATAACTATGTACTT